GATAAGGACCATGAGAAAAGCTTTGAGTGTAAGTAGTGATTTAAAACGTTTCATGTGGCAGAGTTATGCTACAGGCCGATGTGCGAGTTTTGAATCACATACTGTATAAAAATAGCAACTACTTTTGAGACAAACGAATAAAGCGGTGAATTTTAAGCAAGTGAAAATATGATATAGCAATGGATATGACAAATATAGTATTTGAAATATTATTATTATACACTCTTCCAATACTTAAAAATCCCTAAGGGACTATATTAAGAATGCAGTGATTAAAGATGTAATAGACCTAAAACTAATGTCTTATGACAAGTATAACTGTAATAGTACAATTACACTGCTTTAAAACTGAAGGGCAGCGAATGCGAAAACCTTAGAACTTAATAGTTACAATAGACAGATGTGACATTTCAGAAAAATAAACGCTAACGAATATGTATTAAACTATTCTGTTAGATACTTCTGAACTGTACAATAACAACACATTATCTACATACATATCTACACCAGTAAACCTCACTAGTTATGAACACATATACACCAGTAAACCTCAAAAAATATACATACATCAACACACTATCTATAATCACTTCTACATCAGTACACTCACTATTTATATCCACACAACATACATACAATACATTCACACCAGCACACGTCAATATTTATATCCACACAACACATATACACCTTAATCTACTAAACGTTTTTAAAAGTTTCATTGCGTAAAGTAACGGAGTCTACATATAAATTTAATACAACTATAGCTTTACTAAAATTTCCGATTCAACCTCCTTCATGAAGCAACAGATACACAAAATGATGACTAGCATTGAACAGATCCAAATAAATTTTTGGTTTTAAAGTTTACCATTAGACTAAATAATATGAACAACAAATTACCCGTGGTAGCAAGAATGTTCTGCAGCCACATACTGACAAAGAAAAGGCATAAAATATTAAATCATTCAAGGAAAAGGATCCAGCTTATATTCAACTACAGCACGGAGACAAATCTTCCTGGGACGTCTATCGTGCGGTTCGGAAACTGTAAGAGAACGAGACTAGAAGCTGCTTAGTCAAACGTCTGCAAGAACTGGGTTATCCTATGCAACGTCACATGCAGCTTGCCTTAGAATCTGTCGTTTTCGGATTAGGAACCAACTTTAGTAGCCCAGATGGTGTGTAGAGAATTACATCGATCGGCAACTCGGCAAAAGCACGAACGAACTCTAACTACGCATCTTTCATATTTATCAGCTGTTATTATGGGGCCTACAACAACTGGCCAGAAAGCGTTTTCTGATGTCAAAGTTTATATTTTGTAAAGGGTTTGTTTTTTGTTAAGCGAAAAGCTATATAATGGGCTATCTGTGTTTTGTCCAGCGCGGGTATCGAAATTCGATTTTTAGCGTTATAAGCTTTGAGACTTAACTGCCCCATTGGGGCAGTAAATTAATATGTTAAAAAACACGATCAAAGATGTAAAAAAGTATTTATTTACATAAAATGTTATAGTACGTTTTTATCTCTTTGGTTTTGTTTTTACATTACTTTAGACATTACAAAAATGTTACATATACTTGGCTTATACATATACAGTGCTGTGTATCTATATAATTAAAAGAATGTGTGTTTGGGACAGTTAAGCTGTGCAGGGTTGAAATTAGGGGCAGAGAAGTACGGACGACGTCACCACGTGCATAAGGAAGAGGTGGATGTAGATTGTAATATGTATCGTAAAGAGAAAGGTATCTGAGGAATGGACCTGTCAGCTCTCAGAGACCCATCTCAGACAGCAGTGTTTATGTTTGTTTGTTTGTTTTGAATTTCGCGCAAAGCTACAAGAGGGCTATCTGCGCTAGAGGGAAGGCAGCTAGTCATCACCACCCACCGCCAACTCTTGGGCTACTCTTTTACCAACGAATAGTGGGGTTGACCGTCACATTATAATGCCCCCACGGCTGAAAGGGCGAGCATGTTCGGTGTGACGGGGATTCGAACCCGCGACCCGCAGATTGCGAGTCGAGCTCCTTAACCACCTGGCCATGCCGGGCCTCAGTGTTTATGTGTGAATTTCTTCATTTATGTATAAACACTTAGTGCACCTGCACCGTCATCCTGATGAGTTTTAATACTTGCCCCCGACACCCAGGTTTTGAAAGCGTTACGAGATCTGGTGTCTCTTTACTCGACAAGTCTATCGGTTTGTCATTTTTTATCAGACCATTCGGCTCAAAGTCACTTTTGCGTTAGAGCTGTATCACGCGTTTTGAAATAGGTTTAACTTCACAGTCATTGATACGACTCGCACGGCCATCAGATTCGTTCATATGTGAATACTCTAGGCATTTACTTAACTATTTTAATTACTTTACCACAACCAAAAAAAAAGTTTCATATGCGAAACACGAATTTTCTCCCTAGTTCTGTATTAAAGATAAAGCTACTAACGCTGTCTACCGCCGAACCTTATTTTGAACTACTGACCACAGGGAAGGCAGCCAGTCAGCAGCGTTCAACATCCACTACCTATGCTAAGGAATTTACTGTTACTCTTATAACGCATCTACAGTTTCCTTAACTAGCAAAGTATTTAAAATGAATAACACGTTTAGTTAAAATTATTAGTAAAGTGAATATTAGGATAAAAACACCTCAGTATTCATGACCTTTCATAAGATGGTCATCTCGGTCTTCATTAGAATCAAAGGCCCATACCGCAATCAAATCTGAACTCAAAATAACAGATAATCAGTTTTACATTTGCCTACCCTTAACGCAGTAAAATATATCCTAGTGCAGAGTTAGTATCCAAGACTTATCTTCTTACAACGTTTTCTAATAGATAAGGAACAAAGAAACCC